GAGCATGAGTATAATGATGATGATGATGATGATGATGATGATGATGATGATGATGATGATGATGATGATGATGATGATGATGATGATGATGATGATGATGTTGATGCTGTTGATATGTTGATTATGATGGTTTTGACGGTGATGTTGTTATGATGGTGATGATGACGGTGTTGCTGGTGCTTTTGGTGTTGATGCTGATGCTGATGTTAATGGTTGTAATGATTCTGTCTAAATGCTCCAGCTTACACCGTTATCCCGTCGCATCAACATTTCTGAGGTAGGGAGTGGAATGCTTGTTGAATTATTAGTCCTAGGGACCCCCATTACAGTGATCTTCAGGTATCATGATTATGTTTGTGTCCCCTGTTTTCTGCTTTGCTTAGCACTCAGTCGGTATTTTGTGGATCGCAGGCCTAAGGCGGCAAAGGGATAAGGAGATAAAGAAACAAACAAACCAACAAACAAAGAGATAGACGAACAAACGAATAAACAATCAAAGGGTTTCGTGGAATTTGAGGATGAGTCAGTTCTCAGATATCCTCTGAGGATGTCTCCTTCCATTATACTCACATGTGAGTTCACCACCTGAGCGTTCCCCAGGTGAATGAAGCATGTCAGAACCCAATACTGGGTGTGAGAATGTGTGTTTACGGAAGCCATCGTGCACAACAAGTAATGGAAAATAAGGTGAAGAATGGTTTTCAGAAACAGGGTTTACGTCAACCTCTGTTGATAAAAAGGCGATTTCCGACCATGTTCTGTACTCTGGTTTCCAAAGAAGGAGAGAATCGTTGGCTTGTTCACTGAGCTGGGCAATTTGGTTGCAAACGTTTCATCACCAATCGAGGTGACATCATCAGTGCGTAGTTGTGCGTAGCGGTGGGTTAGTGGTTGTGCCGCTACGCACTACTACGCACTGATGATTTCACCTCGATTGGTGATGAAACGTTTGCAACCAAATTGCCCAGCTCAGCGAACAAGCCAACGACCATCTACACTACCTGAGCTACCGACATTCTCCTCTATAGAAACAGGAGAGAATCTCATGTGCCACGCATCAAGTTATGGGGACTCTGTTGTGTGGAATGCATTCAGTTTAGCTGTACCTTTCTGATTCTGGCGCTCAGGTGAACCTGGATCTGCAGTTAGCATAGCCGCGCGGACTCATCGCGTCCTTCTGATACCGTTAGTCCATACAGCAGATTCAAAATCTCTCTTTCTTATGTTCAGATCCTATGGACATAGCCGGTGATACAGTTGGTGGAGTGAGAAAACTGCGGTCGGTGACCAGACCATTAAAGATCGATGAAGCGGGTTAGTACTTTTGCACCGTGGATTGTATCCAGAAGAGACGAAAACGATAGCCACTCTTCTAGAAAGAATTCCTTGAGATATTATAAAGAGATTCCAGCGATCCAGATTCTCAGTCCACGAGGCTTTTATTGATCACACTGATGAAAGCGTATGCCACTGCAGTAGACGTTTCATGAGATAGTGGGACGTAACATATCGTTCGCAGACCGAAAGGCTGGGAAAAACACCCACGGCTACTTAAGAATGTCATGGGCACTCTGTTCACCTCTAATGCTGAGCCGGTTGTCCATTCGGCGTCAACAACTTTGGTCATTAGCTTTGTCGCTTAGCTGAACAAATAGGTGGATGGCCTGGCTTTTATTGCTTTACGTTGTTATTATTACAACTCTCACTTTTATTGCCTTTTTAAGTATTGCATTTCTAAAGCGTCTTATCGTGGATTATCGCGGTTGCATACAAGGTCTGCCACATCCAAAAAGGTTGTAAAACTGAACACAGTGAATGACTGTCTCGGGTGTACTTAATGTTTTCTTTGACAACTTCTGTTGTAATGTCCTGATGATGACAATTCCACCTAGATTCACCAGAATCTTCCTGGGTGGAGAACGTGAATGATTACTTCGACTAGGTTGCAACAGGCAGTAGGAGGATCAGGCCTTTTTCAAGCGCTTATTCGCGTGAATTTGCGTCTCTTGGCCAGTTAGGTACATCAGTCTTTGAGTGTGACCGAAATGCTTCAGTGATCTGCATTGACAACACTGAGTGCAACCGCACCACTTCGTACTTTATTCGTCCGGTTGCACTGGTCAACACTAGTCTGATGACAGCGCAGTTTAATCCAAACGATGCTGCTTCCCGATGGTTTACGAGCCTATCAGTGACCTTCATCTCAAGTGCAAAACGAGCAACAACCTGGTTACTTGAAAGAAAAATGGTAGCATTGCTTATTTTTCCGTAATTTGCCTCAAGCTAACAAGAAAACTCGGGCGTCAGTGTTTCCGTATCAGGAAGTTTCTTAAATTTGTTTTCAGGACTTCCGCGTAGAAGTGCCGACTGTGTCAAACGTAGACATTAGCTTGGTTAGAGAAACGCGTTTTGTACTAAATCCTCAGTCAAATGGCCTGTATTGATGTAACCAGTTAGCTAGATTACTTTTTATCCAAACCTACTCTCTGATAGGTAGAAAGTAAACGGAACATCATGGGACATTTAGACAGTCTATCTAGATTCACGGTAGTTGCATCGACTTTACTGTATTATCGTCCTGGAAGAGTTTATCCGCCGCACAAAGAAGTAGGGTATTCTGGAAGCCGAATTCGAGAAATCTTTGGAGTCGAATCCAAAGGTCGAACAGATCGAAGCAGTTGCATACATTTGCAGAATTGTGACGTGTCGCGAACAAATTTATTGATGGGATGTGGTATCCTCGAAAGTTCAACGCGTTAATGACCATTTGACATTACATGTAATCCACCTAAGTTTGTTGAAAACAATTGCTTATTCTCACGTCTGAAGTTCATGCGCACGATAAACGCGGATCCCTGTTAGAGTTGTGGATCGCACTATTCCCAATGCCTTCCAAACCCCGTGAACCCGAGTCCGGATAGCCGCTTGGTAGTCTGATACGTTTAGCCAAACAAGAAAGCCAATAAGTGTGCGAATCAGCTGATCTATTGATCAATGACACAACCCGGCGTGTGATGTGCAGCCGAAAACGGACTGTTTGTAAAACTTACGTGGAAAGTTCTAGGCGGGCCAAAAATGGTACTAACACAACCCGGCGTGTGATGTGCAGCCGAAAACGAACTGTTTGTAAAACTTACGTGGAAAGTTCTAGGCGGGCCAAAAATGGTACTAAAAATAGAACTCAACTGTCAAGGCCAACTGAGGAACAACCGGTTAAATCAGTCACAACGAAATCCATTATTCCATTGGTAGTTATATAGTACAGTTACGCTCGGAGCTGGTTTCCCTAATAGTTAGCGTAGACTGAAATCTTTCGACGACCTCGGAAAGACCGGAAAAGACGGATCGAAACCCGAGTGGCTCTGGATGTTTGCTGGATTTGTAGAATATGTATTGACACCAGCCTTGCTTGAACGGTTTCCCTCCTGTCTTGACTCAACAATTCCCATGAGTCCAAACTACAGTAGAAATCACTAGACGATCACATTGCGCAACTGTGAACACTTTCTCCTCATTGGACGTGTTAACTCAGGTATGTCCACAGTGGGTTAGTGGAGTCGCGCTACGGCGCTCGTCTTGCAGTACAGATGTACGGAGTTTGAACTCCGATAGGATCAAAGGTATGCACCACTAATGAGCTTCAATGAAGTCGAAACTCGAGCCAAGCGCTACGCATTTGAATACGGATTTACTGAGTCAAGACACATGGAGTACTGTCCAAACGAATTGAGAAAATATGAATTCTGAGTAATCAAAATAACTTTTGCCTACCACTGACATCAGATATTACCAAGTGCGAGTGACCCATCAATTTAGTAGATCTGACTGGCATTCTTTGTACTTGTTAGCTACTGTGTAGACTAAGTTGTGGAATGAAGCTTCTCAATAGTTCAGCTTCTGCTTCAGGTTTTCATGTTCATCCTCGTTCGCATGACTAGAGGTTTTGTCTCACTTGTCGAGAAGAAAATCGAGAATTAACGAACGGCAACATCAAGGTTTAGCACACTAGGCCTGAGAGTCGGTCAACATCCTACCAGTGCGGTGGTGTATACTACTGATAAAAGATGTGAGTAGCGTCTGTTCAGGTGGAGATTCCGTCCTGTAAGCTGAGGCAATCTATGCTGAAAATCTGAGAAGCACTGTTAAGCTTATCATCCATATTTAGAATCATCAAATGTGCGCATCTGACCAAACCTCAGGGATTCGATAACCCGGCTTCCTGGTTTGGCTAAGCGAATCAAGCTAACAGGCGCCTATCGGAACTCGGATTCACGGTCAAAGAGAAGGCACTAAGAAAACCGTAGTCCACCACATAGTGACTCTAGCACCTCCTCTCTCACGTGACGTACAAAACAATCGTAAAACTTTGGGATCTAGGTCTAGCGAACCGAACAGCTATTAATGGTAGAATAACATAAAGTTCATGTACCAGTAAAAGCCCTCCACTGCGAAGTTATATGCTAGCAAGCACAAACTAAGTAAATACAAGCCATTGGACTTGAAAGTAAACATCTCATCTGCTCAGAGTTTTTGAAAAATGAGCATTCCAGAGCTTCCACTTGAACGTTCCTCGATAATCTTGGAATAATCAACAATGAACTGATACTGCAAAGCCGTTTCATAATTTTTCCTCGGTAAGCTTCATCTTCTGTCAGATGCGGAGGCAGAATCTGGCCACCAGACCCCACACTATTCACAAACTTTATCAGTAGTGTGGACCAAGATCTAGAACTTTACTTTTTGGTGGTCGCAGATGAACTTATGGAGTAGAATATCATTGATTCCCCAGGTACTTTGGGTTCCGCTTCCGATGTTTCTGCCTAGGTTTAGCATATTTCCAATTATTTCTTTGAGACACCAACCCTTCCGGTTCCCACTGTTCGTTGGACTCGAAATATTTTCCTGAAATCAATGACTCTGAGAAGATTGTCTGGTAATTCTAGGTTTCGCAAATGTCTCCTAATGTCTTATATCCTGTCACTGGTAAACCAACTCAACCGAACCACACAGACCACATTTCGTGTCATCGCAGAGCGCCATCATCTTCGGAATTGATGTTGTGTCCATACACTCCAAACGCATACTTCCGAAGTTCTCACTAGATACGCTGGATGATCAAGTGGAATTCGAGACATCCGTTTTACATTGTTCTATTCATGGTTATGAAACCCCCTTATGCGAGGCCACACGGAACTATCGGAAATCAGCTTCTACAGCGCGACTGATCCTGATTAGACCGAGACACCCTTCGACTGGCATGTTAGCTGTGCACAGAACGAATGCTCACTCTGACCAGTATTTTCAAATCAGATATTCTAACGGTCGACGTACGCTCCCCATCGCATATCGTTTTGTGTACACTCATTATTCGGTTGGCCGAAAAGATAGATGACAGTTGAAACCCATGATGTTCGTTCTACGAGAACTCTGTAAATGCACCCGATAGCATACATAGTCCAAGTGGATCAGGCTGAGTCGAACTCATCACCACTTTGATGGGCAGCAATATTTTTGCCGAATAAAGGGTGCGGATATGAGTTGAATCTAATTTGACCTTATGATAATTACCCCATTCATTTGCTTACTCCGCCTATGTACTTTTGATCTCCAGTTGTTTTGCCTATTCGTACCCGCCACCCACCTTGCCGCAGAGGCCATCCTTTCCGACACTGTATTGACATGTGTGTCTGTGTGTGAATGCGCGCTGCTGAGCTGTTTACCCATGTGCGTTCATGTCCCGTTTGCTGAGCCTGCCTTGACTTGTTTTCTCATGAGTTCCGTGTTATCGCACGTCCAATAAGAGTCACCAGACCGTCGTCAGAAGGAACGACGGCAACCCACGCTACTGAGCGGTCGTTGACACTGCATTGTGCGGGTCAGTGACAGACCTCCGAACTTGACGCTACGAACGTGAACAAGTGAGGTTTGTTGTACACATTTGCTTACCCTTGTGTAAATAATACCGTAGAATTACGAACCCAATTCTTCCTCTTGATGTTCGGGATTGTCGAACCTACGCGTCACTCAAAGTTCCGTATCGGGAACCTCAACAAGGAGGCACTGGTATAAGCGGTGAGAGGAAGGAGCTCATAAAAAAGAAAGCAACTTTTGCTCGGGTTCGTTGCTTAAGTCAAACCCAATCCAAACCCGTCTATTTCTGAACCATGTCAAAAAAACGAAGAGCGGAGGTAAACCATACATTATCTTTATTCGTCTGGAATACAGTAGTAAACTCAAAACAAACTGACAGATGCACTTTATAAAGTGTCACTCATTTGTTCTGCAAGCCTTTGATGTTCTATACTTTTTCATATGGCTCGTGATTCACGAATAAGCTGCAGCATTGAATGAAATCCATATCGGTAGTAAGTAAAATGGTTAAAGAAAATACTCAATATGTTCGTTGGACAACTTATGCAAAACGGCTATCACTATTCACTGTTTTTACTTGTGTTTGATGATATTCTTGTGTTACGAAATCTGGATAGCTCAGTCGTTAAGCATGCACTTACTGAACCTGAAAATATCTCAGCCCCCGTTCTTCCTTCGGGTGGTATGACAGCTGCACACCGAAATGGTTTTGCGTTTGAACGATAATTTTGTTCATTCTTGAATTTCTCGAATAATACTAGGTGTATATAAAAAAACCTAATATAGCTGTCCGGTGTCTTAATATATACGGATTAGACCGGCACTTTTGAGGTTCCGTCAGGTGTATACTGATTTTGGCGAATATGCACTCATTTGCAAACTAATTTGGTTTTTCGAGAGACTCACCTGGAACCCAGCTGAATCTCTCGCTCGTGATGTTTCCAAGCAACCGAATGTGCTGCACTAGGCCACCTCATGTTTCAGTCGCTACGATATTCGAAATATCGCGATACGTCACAAACGAGAGATTCAGCTCGGTTCCAGGTGAGCCTCTCGAAAAACCAAATTTGTTTGCAAATGAGTGTATATTCGCTAATTTCGTGCAATTGGGTTTTAAGCTGAACATCAGGTTGACGGAAACCCGGGGACGGCGCCTACCTGATGAGCCCGAAAATGAGCAAAACCGGTCGTCGGTTGTCGAAGAGTTTTCAGCAACCTTATGAGTAGTACATTACGAAGTACACTGATTTTGTTTTCTGCAAATGAGAGCTACTTCACTGATTCAGGGCTCATGCCACGCACTCTGAACAGCAAACCTTTAGAAACTGATGTAAAACACGTTTACCTACTACGGTTCATTTGTGTACCGATATTAACGTCCGACTGCGAACACTCCGATGCTAATCGGGATACGATAATCGGTGTACTGTTGTCTGCGTTGGTTCACCATCGATACTTTATCTCGAAAAGTGTCTGGAAGGCAAAGTGTGATTGACCAATCGGATAAGTTTTTGTCCGCATCACTAACTTGCAAGTTGTGCATACCACCCGAAATCCAACATACATCGTTTTGGTGAACGATGATCCATGTTGCGTCAACACAACGCATTGAAAGACCTAAAGGTGTAACATTAGTCCTAGAGCTAACCTTTTCTACAGGCTCGAAGGTTTCCACATCAACAGTACAGGTGAGAGCATCAGTTTCTAAAAGGATCATTGGTCCAATGTCGAAAGGATCCTCACTAAAACTGTTCCCAGACAACATAACCAGGTCACTGGGCAAGTGGTACTTAACTGGTTTGCGGAGCTAGGCGATCAGGTGACAAAAGTTTCTCCACCATAATAGGAGGCCTCTTTAGTTCCTTGTTGACTGGGTAAATCTTCCAATTTCGCTTGCGCTCTAAAAGCCTTTGAATTGCGTTTTATAGCTGTGACGCTACTGGCTGTTTGAGAATTGGCCGGGGAGTACACTGGTCCGTCCGCTTTGCATTGCGACCCGATTATGTTGAATTCGGTCGCTCCGTTGAATAATTCCAGTTGATATACAAACTACTATCGTTTGAACGGCCGTCCTCCTGTTCTGGCGTAATTATTCCGGTGAGTTCACACCAGAGGAAAGCACTGGACTCGAGTTTCGCTCTTATTAGAGCTCATCAGCAGTGCATACTCAGTGGCCGTGCCAGGATTTGAACCCTGGACATCTGCCATCCGAGGTGAGCGTCTAACCACTACTCCACCAACGCATGTTGGACCTCTTAAGAGGCGAACGTGTCGACGTTTGAGTGATGTGAGTGGTGTGCCCGACCCAGTAACAGTCCTGGTTGTGACGATCGATTTACTCGCCAGTTAGGACTTCCTGGTCAGGTAGCGTCAGGGATGTTTGAAACTCACTGGGTAACTTTTTGGTTTCTATTGTGGAGTTTTGCGGTTTTGTTCATATTCACACCACTCTCGTTCGAACCGGCAAAATACTCATCCCGCAAAATCCCACAATAAAATTCCAGTTCATTAGTTCTGTCCCTTTATGCCTCTTGGCTAGTCTTGTCATTTTGTAGATAGTGTACCAGCCAGTCTATCTCTTATTTGATTGTTCCAACACAAGCTCAGGCGGAATAGGGGAAAAATCACTACGGTAATGGAGGTGTTCATCGAACCAATCAAACACAAGATACGCAGATCACAACGCAACACAAACTCAATCAAATTACATACTGGTCAATTCTCAAACAGTCACCCACAATACAGATGATAACTTTTCTTTGATGGCTATATAATCACAGGGAGACTTGGAGAAATTAGCCAATCAACGGCGAACTGACATTGTCACGTGGTGGTAAAACATTTGCCAGTCGATTGTCTAGCTCCACGCGCCACAGAACAGTCACCTGATCAACAGCCAATAAACTCATTAGAGCTACCAATATTTGGATACATTGTCAAGAGCACAGTAATGAAACTACACTGTGACTGGTTTAACAGTCTAAGGACTATCGCCGAAGTTCACTCACGGAGGCATGTAGCGGCAAACAGAGTAGAAGGCGTTCAAAATCGTCTCGTTCTGATCCGGTATTGGAAGTTTGGGACACATGATCATGATGCATCCCAACCGTCTTGTCGTCGCACAGACCACCTGAAAACGACATAGAACAAGCCGTAGAAAGTCATTCTATCAAACACCAGGCTTTCCTAGCAGTAGGTTAGAGAATGGCGGGAAACCAGCTTCGTATAGAAACTCCGAGCAAATAAAATTAGAACCGCAAAAACTATGGACAACAACAAACGTTTGTTCACGAAAATCCATTAACACTGAACTGCACTATCCTATTTCAGTAGCTTCAACCAGTGGTGGAGAATTTGAGAGCATGTGCGACGAAGTCAGCTGTGGTGACTATTTTTTAAGGTGAAAATATCTCTTGCAAGATTAGACCAACTCAGCGGTGGTAAGTTCTCACTGATAGTAGACTGTCTGTCATCAGATATAGTTTAGCAAGTAAGTAAACGGCGCGATTAAACTCAGCATAACGCATGGCCTTTCAAAAACCGCCTCAGAACGAAGAACAAGCAGATCAGGAATAACAGTTGAGTAGAAAGCAGGAGAATCCAACTTCAAAGCCGTGAACTAAAACAAACCACCGACTAGCATTCAGTGCACTCGTCCTTTCGGTGAAGCATCGTTTGCGAGAAGTCACGATCGCAAGCTTGTATCGTTCATTTAGCCGGAAAGTTCCATGACACTTGTTCAATGACTGTATCCTATTCAAATAATAATCTAATCGTTCAGCTGTAGCACCCTTTCGGTGCCTAGCTGCCATGCCACCCGAAGGTTGCAGGCTGGGATACTGCTAGGTTGCCCAAGCCTAGACAGGGGAAGTCGAGATACAGAGGTCGGGTTCGAATCACGGACCTTCCGGTCACTAAACCCTATTCAAAAGAGTCGACGGGACTCAGCCTTTAAGTTTCAAGTCACAACATTTTCTGCAATGTATTAGGATACATGAGGTAAACACGTGCCTGAATCTCGGAACAGTAGAATCAACAGTTTAATGGAAAACATCGTCTAAAGCAGAGTATCACAGGCCGGACGTGGATTGCATTTTGAGGGTCAACGCACATCCTCCAACTATGCACCGGTCGGTAGTACGTGTAAAGTAGAAAAAAACAGGGACAAAAATACTACTTTCAAACAACGAGTAAGAACGTGATAAACCAAATAAAAATTTGTTTTTTTGAGAAAACAATATCGCCACTTGTGATGCTCTGCTGAATTCTTTGATATTCTCCAGAGCTTACGATTTTCTAACATCTGTAAAGCGCCACCATAGAAATTCAGGCTGACACCTAGTAAAATAAAAGCTTTTAGTTATCACGAACAGACTTCACTCGCCTGATGAAATAGCGTTCAAAATATCGTTAGGACGTATAGGACATTAACAAACAGTGCGAATCCCCAGTAGGTGACAGGTAAATCAGTTCCCATAGTCTCACGAAATCAGTCGGAATTTGTAAAACACTAGTGAGATTGGAAGTGCTAAAAAACTATCAGGTTGTATTTTGATGTTACCCTGATTCCATGGAATTAAACAACGTGAGAAAAGACTGCTGAGTTCGTTTCGAAGGAAAAGTTTGTCTCAGCTCATTACTCACTTGATCGTAATGTCCACTCGTCCTTCGACCTTCGTACCAAGTGTCTACTGGGCTACATGAACACAAGCAAAAAGGACGTGTGTTATCTCTGAAACGCTGCAATGCGTTTCATCATCATCATCATCATCATCATCATCATCATCATCATCATCATCGACAGCATGGCATCAGTATTCAACACTGATGCTTCACTACCGTTTAGGTTCTACGGCTATTCTTTTTGTTTTCTGCCCTGTGACTGGACCATGCGGCAGAATTTAACAGTTCTTTGGTTAGTTCCGGTCTCACCTGTGTTCGTTCATTCGCGTGCTCGATGTACTACGCGACCTTGCCGTTTTCCGCCTCCTTACAGCAATTATGGTATACCAAGAACGAACAGCGTTTATTTTACAGAAGAGTGCGCTTCAGACTACTGACAAACTACTTTTGAAAACCATCGTTTTAATCCAGTCCCGTCAGTGGCCGCTAAATTCACAGCAGTCCGAGTGAGTACACGGACGGGCTGACGAATATCAGCCTACAATGGGAGTCGGATTGCGTCAAAACCAGCTTTTGACCCAGAAGCACTGCGGATATGTTTACAAGAATAATTATTTTCTATTTCTAGCAAAATTAAGGCTGCGATAACAAGAAAGGGAGAAATCTATCCTGCAGTGATAACAGACAAAAATGCTAGTGTTTAACTCAACCCGGAGGTTGTGCAAAACGTGGTTATGGTTTTCTGAATCTAAAAATGTTTGCCAACTTTCTGTCTTCATCCGCATTAGATCCGATTTCAAGTATGTAAGTGTGACACTGGGTGGTGTGCTCGGTGACGAAATCGAAGTTGGAACAACCTAGCTCACAACTAGTCCTTGAAGTTGGACATTCTGTTGGTACCCCTCCTGCAACAGATGAGGCAAAGTGAGCTTAGACACGCTTGAATCAGGCGCGTGAGGACATGAGACAATTTCCGATGGAGATTTTGTCTTGTATGTGAAGAACCCAGTCTACGAGGAGAAGTGAAGAAGCACTGTACAGCTGTTTCAGTGCGCACCTCACAGAACCCCAGAAAATTTCGAGTCCGTTACCTGTCTCCTAGTATTTTTAAAACTTAACTTTTAGGCTATAAACGATTGATCACTGGTCAGTGCAGTCGACTTGGAAGCGAAAAGATATGGCGTCATTCAATCTTCAGTCACGAAAGGGCCTTCACTTGTCCAGGCAAAGACGGGCTCCTCAAGTGGCGATTACTCGGATCAAAGTTTCACTGGACGTGTGGGTTATTATTCCTTCTAAGCTACCTACACTTTCCTGGTAGTATGAAAACATTTAAGATGTTCA